ACTTTAAAATAATTATATATAAATACATAATAATAATTTTTGGGGGTCACAGCAGAAACCTATTAATTTTTTAAAAGAAATTTTCATAATTTTTGATTTTTTATGATATTTGAAAACTATGAAATTATTAAAAATTAAGGAAAATGAGGTATCCATTTAAGATATCTTTGTTTCGGGATATTGAATGAAGAGAATAATAATCTAAAAGAAATTAAAGATAACAAAATAACATAAATATTGATTACAATTTTATAAAAAAAATAATAGTATTTAGATAAGGTATATATTCAAACAAAAAAGTTTAGAAATATTGAAATACATTATATACATATATGTATTTCTTAATACTTAATAAAATATATCAATTTTCTTATAAGAATGCTTGGCGAGACTCCATACCTTAAGGCTTTGTAAATGAAATATAACAATCTTCATTTTTTAATACTTAATTTTAAAATAAAACTTCTTTTTTATTAATTTTTTATTAATTTTATACTTTTAAATTAGTTTTTATTTATTTGATTTATTTCTATTACTTTATTTAATAGTTTTTAAATTTTGTCAAGAATTTATAATTTTATAAAATTTTCTTATAAACTTATTTCCATTTCAAATAAGCTTAAAATGAAACTTTATTAGCATTAACTAACTATTTGAACTTCGAAGGCATAATTTTGAATAGCTAGATTTTAATACAAATTACACATTTATTCTAAGAGTTGCAAATCATAATTCCTATCACAATCAATAAGTAACAAAAAAAGAATAAATAATCTATGATGATTTGAACTATTTCAGTATAGATTTAGATTTGTAGATTTTATATTTATACCAACTATATATACATTTTTAAAATTATAAAAGAGAGAGCTGCTATTTCACATTTCTGTATATTATTAGAAATAAAAGGATTATTTTGAGATATTATTTTAATGTAACAGCCTAAAAGAATTGTAATTGTAAAGGTGGCAACAATCTAGTTATTATTTTATAATAGGATTTATATATAAATTATAGCAATTTTCAAGTAAATTCTAACAAATTCCCAATAGTAATGTTGATGCTTTAGTTCTCCGTAATAATAGCCATACTTATATTTATTCAAACATTAATCTAATTTTTTCTTTCTTAAATTTAACAACCTAAGAAATACTAATGGAAGGAGAGTCCAAAAACATAATACCATCACAGAGAAAGGATATAAATATTTAACTACATCAAGGTCATAACAGTCAAATTATAAGTCTATTGGGTTGTAAAGTTAATTTCCTACTTGTTTACAAGTAAGTGCTTTTGTAAAATAGGATATCTAGCTAATTTAGAAAAATATAAAAACTATATGAAAAAGTAAATAACCGTGGTATGGTCTTAGCTTTTCTTTGGTAAAATCTTTATAATAATGTAGAGTTATTGGAATAAGTACAAGTGCTACTACAGGAACCAAAAATTAAATTTAAGTATAAAATAATATCTTTCCTATCTTATTAATAGTATTCTCACTAATAAGACAGTCTAATCCTAACGAAACCTAAACGTCACCAGACCCAAATATGTTATTAAATAAATTAAAATTAATTGAAATAATCTTGGGCTATGCTATCAATAGGGTAGATAATTAATAATAGTTAAGAATAATTTTTATATAGAATCCAGAGTAGTCCTATATGCTATTGCTGCTAATAGGAAGGATCTTTAATATTCTAAGATAGTAACATGTTTGTGTGTATTTAAATTTTTTGATGAAAACTCCTAAAACATAAATGAAATAAAGTTCTAAAATTATTATTTTTAAAATTTAGTAAAACCATAATTTAGAATATTCTCCACATTTTTCACAAATTCCTTTTGAAAGAGATTATGAATAGCGAGAACCTGTCCAAACATCACCTAAAATGTCACATTACTCGGAAATAGGGCCTATATAACCTTCTAAACAATAATTAATGCTATTAGGATTTTCAGCTTAACATGAGTTTATCATTGAATTACATGCTATAATATCATCTGTAGTATTGCTTTTCCTCCAGTATCCATTTTTTAATTTTATAATATTTCCTTAACACCAAATTGCAGATTCAGGACAATTAAAGCACCGATTAATGTCTTTCTTTTCTTATAAAGATTATTGATAAAGTGCTTATGGATCACTTAGCTGATAAGTACCATTCAAGCACTGATTGCAAATTTACAAGGTATTTATGTTTTAAATGATCTCCCCTATTTAGCATTTTCTGAATTCAATTGATAAAAGAACTGGTAATTTATTAACAGAATTTCTATAAACTGTTGAATTTATTGAAAAATATTGAACTGATTTAAGAGGTCCTAGTATTTGCAAATTGTTTAATTAGAATGTTTAATCTATAGAATCATATTAATTAAAATCAATAATTTGCTATCCATTTATTAAGTTTTTATTAGAATCTAGTTAATTTATTGAAATTTATAAATTTCTAAGCTCGAAGTCTATATCTTCTGGATAATTGCCTTATTTTAGCTTTTCTTTTGAGAAGCTTAAATATCTATTTTACTCATCAACAATATATATTCTGAAATCAATAAGACCTCCACTTCTAAATTATTGTATTTCGGCATGTCTTTAATATTCATTCTAAAAATTATTTGGGGCATTTATTAAATTTTTGTAAAATGTAAACCAATATTCATCAATTTAATTGTTATTTTTAATAATGATATTTTAAAGATATGATGCACTATCGTTTCCGTATATTTCTGCTATATTTTCAAGTACATTATGGTAAAATGGGAAGAAAAGAGGTAATTATAATTTATTTTAATCAGTCTAAACAATTCTTAATCCTCCTCCAATCAAGGCTCTATTGAATTTAATGATTGTAGCCCTATCAAGTATTACTTAACATTTAATTATATTCTCAAAATATAGAGCCCCTCCACTGCTCAAAGCAGAGTTTTGTTAAAATTAAGTTTCTTAAAGTTATATTTTTGTCTGTATAGCAAAAAATTAAATTGCTCCTCCGTTTTATGCTTAATTCGCATTAAAGTTGCTTTTTTATATTAAAACTGTTTAAGATTGTCCAAGAAAAATATTACCTTTATTATCACTTGAAGTAAAATTATTAAATTAAACAAATGAGCTTTAAATCATCATGATTTAACTATTCAAAAATTGATTTTTTTTAACTGTAAAATTTTCGAAAAGCAATACATCATCTTCTAATTCAACTTTTTGCTTTTCAAAAGTATATTATTTTGTGGTAAATATAAGAAGAAGTTGATTATTAGATTAAAATAAACAATTAACAATCCTTATATTTTAGCAGCCATAAAAGGAAAAGATTCCATTAATTTAGTCAATTTAGATATTTTAAATATTTTCTTTTATTTTTAAATTTATGAGTGTTATATTTTAGATTTGAGAAAAACTCATTAAACTATTTAGATTTGTGTTTTTTATTGATGATACTCCTTTTATAAGAATATCTTTTATTAATTAAAATTAAAATATTGGTAACTAAGATGTCTAATAAAAACTATTGTATGAGACCTCAAGATTGTAAATAAATACTTATGACACATTGTAAAAAAAGATCAAAGAATTTAAATCATTTTATATTGATAGGTCAAGATAAGATATTTTGATATCTTAAAAGACTACTTTTTCTATGTTTGAAATATATATTTAATTGGTGCCGAAAGATTTTAAATAGATAGTTATATTCTAAAAGATGATTTGTTTGGTAAATTTATTTTAGGTGATGTTGATAAATAAATTTTTATTATTTTAAAAGTCGAAATTGAAATTAGCAAGCTGTAGAATTTCTTGGCCAAGGTTTTAAAAAGTATCATTTTAAAGAGCTATAATATTGTTTTAAATATCATAAGGTGAAAAGATAAATTGATTATTATTTAATTAGGAAATTTATTGAAATACATTTGATATTTTAGAGCTAGATATTTATAAGTTGATTTAACTTTGCCAATTTTATTAATTGATCAAAGAAATTCCATTCACTGTTATAACCTCTGTTTATTTGGGCTAAATATAAGTTAGTTCTTATTAAATATATTAATAGTCTTAACTTGAAATCAAAGCAGAACATCCTTATATTGAGTCTTTACTGAAAATATCTAAATTGTAATTATTTTCAAAAATTCCATTTTAATGTAAGCCTAATATATTTACTATATTTTTTTGAGAATCAAATTTATAGCTTAAAAATTGAGGATATCCATAACTTTACTAAGCTACAATATCGAATTTAGTCCCATTTATTACAAGCAGTTCAAATTTATCAACAAATAAAATAGCTATCACATTTTTTGTTATTAATTTGAAGAAAGTAATTCTATCTGTGATAAAATCTTTTTTAATTGCTGTTAAAAATTCAATTTTAGTGTCAAGGATATACAAGTTTATTTAAAAGGAGCATTAGATAAGTATGAAGCCTTTTTCTATACTCAAGCTATCAATTTTTATTTTAGGTAAAAATAAATTTTATTCTTGTTTATTATTTGAGTAGTTATATATATAAGCTTTCTTCTATCCACTAAAACTAAAAATATATCTTTGATAAGTGTAATCAATCAAAAAATTTGCCAACGTAATTTAAGAATCTTCATTGACTAGAAGTTTTAAATCTATTTATGAAATAATATTAATATTTTGGATATCTATTTTCAGTAGAAGTGCACCATTAGAAATAGCATAAGCATATTATTAAATATCTGAGTTTTCTATCAGATAAATTTTTATTATCTAAGTTTACAAAGGACCCTATTAAGTGGTGTTATATAAAAAATATTATTAGCTAATTAGGTTATATTAAAGCAGTTAACAATCACTAAAACCTATTATTATTAAATCCTAATTGCTATTAAAAGTAAATGAAGTGACTAATTATGTTGAATTATATTAAATTTCTTTGATGATAATACCTTATTCAACATTTAAATGCAAAATTTTTGAATCACAAGTAATAACAACACTATCAGTTATAAACTGCTAAAATTAAATAGTTTCAAGCTTGTAAATAGTAGAAATTAGGTTATTATTTCTATTTTATTAATATTATTAATAGAATAAAATAGAGTCTGAAAAAGCAAGTATTAAAATATCTTTGCTTTAATTGTATTTTATTTCTACTATTTAATTTTCATTACTTATTGCAAATTCAAATTTTACTTTCTATTCTGTATATCTTTGGATTACATTAAATTTGTTGATAATAAGAAAATCAGTCTGCATACTATTAATAGATATTTAAACAAACAAACTTTGTGGCTCGTTTAGAATAGGTTCATACTGGTTTCCCAATAAGTTATAATCAAATTTGTAAATCTATTAGTCAGAATAAATAAAAACATCATTAGTTATATTGTCATAACTAAACTTTTGTATCTTTTCTTATCCATCAGTAAATTCGCTAATTTTAACAAAGCTTTGAAATGGAAGTTTAGGATCTATGGAAGACAGATAAAATGTTCCTTCTGCGTCTAAAAACATTACATATCTAATAGAACTTTCATCATATTCTACTTGAATAATATTTTTATTGTCTAATGAGTTATATTTAACTCCAGATAAAGTAACAATTTTTTATTAAGCAGAAACATCATATAAAGAAATTTAATCCTAGCTGCCACTTGTGTTAAATAATATGTAATTTAGCTATTCTATATATATGAATTATATAATATAACCAGAGCTATCTCTAATATCAAATTAAATAAAATCAAAGCTTTATCTATCTATTAAAGTCATATCTAATTTTTTAAATAAATTTAAAATTAAATTTCTCAAAAAGTTTTCCTAAAAAAAAAATTAAATGGCAATTTTTCTAAATAACATAATTGATGATTTTAGAAATTAATAAAAATGATTTTAAATGAATAATTAATTTAATGAAGAATTTTTGTGTGATTGAAATTAAAACTTAAAATAAAAATTTATTTATTTATTTTTTTACATTAGGAATATGAACAGAAATACTTTTTTGAGTAAAGATAGCATCTATCTTAATTTCCTTCAATTGTTTGTTTTAAAATTCCATCAAAGTTATAGATTTTGCTTTTATTATACCTACTGTAAATAAAGATGTTTTAGTTTGTTTCATCAGTAATAAATTATAGGTCATCATATAAAATTTAAAATTTTTGAGAAGTTTTTTCTATCTTATCATATAAAAAAATATTATAGTTTTAAAGAATGGAATATAAACATATTATTTTTTTTTATAAGGTTCTACAATTCATTTGGATATAGTCACCATTTTGGTCTACAATTTTTTAAGGAGTAAGCTAGGCATTAATAACATAAATGCTACTTCCATATATATAAAGATTTTTTTCATTATAATCATAAGCATATCCACTAATAACTTTCATATCTTGAAAGATATATTATACGTTAGTTTAGATATTTACAAAAATAAATGTATTTTCAGATTTCCATATAAAAAAGATTTCATCAAATAAATCAATTTGCCTTAACTAAACGTTTTAGATAAAAATTTATAAAACGCTATCATTGAATATATCAAAGGAGTAAACTGACTGGTAATTAAAAATATAATACTTTCCAAATTTAGCGCTTCTTTTCATATAAGTTGCAGAATTAATTTGATAATCACCTAAATTAAGCCTAGAGTATCTATTATTTTAAATTTAGGCTTAATGCAGTAAACCTTAAATGCTTTCAAAGTAATATACTGAAGTATTCTAAGAATATTTAAAATTTTTTAAAGGAATATTCTGAAAATTAGTTTATATATCTCCATAAAAATAATCTTTTCCACTAATTTATATAATATTTCTTTATATGTCAATAAAGTATTCGTAAAATTACTATTAATCAAAAACATAGGTAGAATAATATTTTTTCCCATTTAAATTTACTTTTTTTATTAATTAGCCAATATAAAATGTTGATTTTATAAAGGTTTAGTTATTACTTGAGATGTCTATTAAAAGAATACCTTCCTATCCTTATAAAACATAAACCTAATCATCATACATAACCCGACCTAATGAGCTAACTTTTGATACTGGCAATTAATTTATTTAGTAAATTGATGTCATGTCTGAACTATAAATGTTAAAAAAACCTATCTCATCGAAAATTAGAATCTAATCTAAATAAAAATTATTGTTAATTTCATCTTAGAAAGAAGAAACTGATTTTATTATTTCAATATTGTCAGCAAAAGTATGTATAGCTTATATCTTTTAAATTTAATTATTTTATAAATCGATTTAATATAAGGATATATTTCCATAACCTTTTATAACAAATTTTAAATTCTCTATTAAATAGATATCTTAAATTAACTGAAATTATAGAGTGCACATAAATATTATTTGTAAATCTAAAGAATAAAGTTTTACATCTTAACCTGAAGATGTTAATATTTTATCACCATTAGTGTCTACTTTGCATGATAGGCACAACATTTCTTATATTTATTTAGTAAATACATTTATTATTATTATTTTTTAGCTACTTTTCGCGATTATTGTATTATAGTTAAGTTTTTTTATGAAATCTATATTATCTTTTAATTGCAATTTTTTTGATAATTTGCCATTGTTCTCATTTGACATGTCATAAAATATGATTTAATTATTTTATTGGCGTTTAATAATAAGAGGTGGATAGTAGCTAAGAAATAATAAACTTTATTATAACTAAAATCCATTTAAAAATGTAGCAGGAAAAGGTGAATAAACATTCTATATAATTTTAAATTATACTAAAAATCTTTCCTATTGCTATACACTACCTTACTTAATTATTTAAATAGAATCGTTATTTAAAAGAACTAACTCCTAAGCAAATTCATTTTAAGTAGAACTTTTATTTTTTATTTTTTAGATACTTTATGAGGAATAATTCAAAACATATTTTTGTTCAGATAAAACAAAATTTTACAAACTTGTATCAAAGTAATAAAATGACATTTCTATTTAATTTAGAATCACAATTATATAATTTTCTTTTCCCCATAAGCTGAAGATCTCAAAATCAGTAATTTAATCACCACCGTTTAAAGTTATTATAAAATTCACAGAATTTGTTTATAAATCTATGGTGGTTATTTGCAAATCAGTAATAACTATCAAATATTGGTTTAAATCATTGTCTTATGCTTAAAATATTTTACATTTTTTTATACTTCTATTCTACTAAAAACTTAAATAAATTTAATCAAATGAATTATTATTTAAATCTATTTTAAATACTGAACTATCGAAACATGAGTAGTAAATTCCATTCTAAGATGTGGAGTGAATATCGAAAAAGGTGCTTTGTGGCATATTTTATGCAATAAAACTATTTATTACTTATAAATTCAAGCCATTTTTCTCAACATAATTTACTGTTACCGATTAAACTAAGATGCTTTATGAATCATATATAAAAATATATTAGCCAATAAATTTAATTGATTTTGCGATAACACTTATTGTAAAGGGATTAGAAAAAGAAAATATTTGATTCAATTCATCATAAACAATCTACAATTAAATTTATTCTTGTTATTAAATGTAAGCTATGCTATACTAACTTTAAAACGAAGTAATTGAATCAAACGAGATCATATCTTTGTATTGTATTGATTTTCTTGAGTCACTCTTAATATCCCATATAGATAAATAATAATCAGCTCTTTTTATGAAAATTATATCGTTTATGTGAAATAAGAGAAGATCATTGGTTTAGAATTACATATTTTTTATGAGAGAAACATCAGTCCTATTATAAACGAACAGAGATCCTTCTTTTTAGGCCACATAATAATCATTTTGATATATAAAAAAGTCTTTTGTGATGACATTTTCTTGCATAATTTGCTACGAAGGTCTTTAAGTGTTACATCTTAATTGTGTTTTACATAAGTTTGTCTTGTCATCTTGTTAGGTAGAAGAATTACAGATAGCTACACAACCGCTCTCTTGACTGCCATCATATTATTACTTATCGAAAAACTAATAATTATTACATTTAGTATAAATGCATACATTTTATTCTGAATCCAGCAAGTAATCCACTTCACACTATGTGCATTAATTTTAATAATTAGCGTTATTAATGCAGCTTAGACATCCTTCTATCTCTGTACATAGCTCTTTTGCTAGTAATTGAATTACTAAAAACAAAATAATTTTTACAGTTATATACTTAATCATCATATTATAGATAAACTTTCTTTTTTTTTAAATATTTTTTTATGTCTTAATAATTTATATTTATTTATTTAAAACCTAAAATCTACCTATGAGTGAATATAAATGCCTCTAAATTTAATTACTAAATTTTATTTTTACTCTTTATTTAGCTGATTTTAATAAAGGATGTCTATTCTGTTAGCAATTTCTAATCTTCGTTAATTTTTTGAGTTGGGGTATTTGTTTAATAAAATAATCTGGGATGATTGAATAGTAATTAATTAAAGTAATAATAACTAATGGTTGTATAAATAAGTAAACATCTTCTTTCGAACTAAAATAATAATATGAAGAATTCCACTAATAAATATGTATTTATAAATAAACATATTGATTGTATAAAATTAATTATTTTTTTTTCCAATTTTTTTATTTGTGATTCTTGTATCAAAAATTTTTAAATCAGTTAAAGCAAACTATTTAAAGTATAAGTAAGAAAAACCTTTTTATAATTTTTAAAAAATAAAATTAGATAATAATTTTAACAAATAAATAGGTAAATAAATATACAGAATCACATGTCTTTATTCAAACTAGCCATTTATATTTCTTTTTTAATTTGAGAAAAAAAATCTATTTTATGAAATACTCTAACTCTTCATTAATTAAGAGCCACTAATATAAACGGACCAAAAAAATTTTAGAACTCAGAATTTCCCTCCAAAATAGGGAAGTTGGTTCCCTTAATTAATTTAGTGAGGAATTAGAGTAATTCATTTTTTTATTTATCAAAGTAATATGTAAATATTTATATTTATAGGTTATTGAAAATAATTTTTTTATTGTTTATATTAAAATAGAGTTGAAATATTTTAAGCTATTTATTATTTTTTTTAAATTTTACATTAAATATCTCTCATAGCCACTAAATATGAAGATGCTTTATTTATCGTTATGAAGAGGGAGGAGTTTACATAATTTAAATAATAATCAGAAATCATAAGAAAATAAGATTTTTATTAAAGATAATGAATTAATATGCAAAAAATTTAAGAGTCACATTAAACATAATTATGTAAATAGCTTTCTTTTCGAGCAATTTCAAGAGGCCTTTATTAATTATATTATTTATGTCCATGTGCGATTTAAATAAACTTCATCTATTATTATAAAATTGAACATATAAATTTTATTGATTTGATTGAAATTTTGAAGAGGTAAAGTCTCCTTTAATTAATTAAAGAAAAGACCTAAATCAGGTTAATAATCTCTATTGCTAATAGATTTTTAGATATTATTGATAAATTTTAGTTAGTTCAATTTAATTCAAATATCAAAAAATTGTAATTTATAAATATTTTAGAGGGAGCAAAAGTAAGACTATATAGCTGTATGAGTAAAATAGTTATGTATTTATGTAAGATGTATTATTATTATTATTTTACAAAACTTAATTAATTACCTACCAACGTTTAATGTAAGGGGAGAAAATAATTAACATTTAATAAGTTTATTTACCACAAAATAGAAATCGCTTAGATTAATATTAAAAATAACTTTCTTTAATAATTTAATAATATCATTTTAATATTTATTATGTTAATTTCTCAAGATGAATTTTCATCAATATTTAATTTAATTTATGGCTAATATTTTCTCTTAGAAATATATTAATTTAGTTAAATGAAATATGTATCACTCACTTTATTATCTTCATAGTCTTTTTTAGTTGATTGACCTTTTAACATGCTATCAAGTATTTTTTCACAAAACTAATCAAAGTAACTACATAAATAATCTGCTTTATCTTATCAAATTTAAAATTTTATAATATTTAAATTATTTTATTTTTTTATTTTTTTGACTATTTTAAAAAAAAATAAGCAAAAAATTTTTTTAAGTTGAGAGTCATATTAAACAAAATTATATAAATTGATCGAGTTATTTCAGAGAGTTCATTATTCGCCATGTTATTTATGACCTTGTGCTATATAAACTTTATCTATTATTATGAAATTGAATATGAAAATTTTATTGATTTGATTGAAATTTTGAAGAAGTAAACTATCCTTTAATTAATCAAAGAAAAGACCTAAATCAGGTTAATTATCTATATTTCTAATAGATTTTTAGATATTATTAATAAATTTTATTTAGTTGATTGTAAAGTTCAATTTAATTCAAATATCAAAAAAAAAATTGTAATTTCTAAGTATTCT